AAGTAATACTGTTAAAATACTATTTCATTTACCTTTAATGCTACCATAATTCTGCTTCCAAAGTGAAGTGATGGTACTGTAACTAAAATTACATTTGAGTTACATCAGGGGTGTTGGCTATTGGGCAAACTAAAATCGGTCTGGACCACAGAATGCCGGACTAGAGAGGTACAACCTGTACTTAGATTTTGCCAAGGCTTTCGATAACATACCCCATGAAAGGCTGAGAATTAAACTGGAAGGGTATGGGATTTGGAGAAGGACCTAGCATGGATAGAAGACTTTCTTCATGATTACAAGCAGTGTGTACAGAGTAGTGATTAAAGATACGAAATCGTCATGTGTACTCTTGACGATCGGGGTACCACAGGGCAGTGTATTGGGCCCATTGTTGTTTGCTTGTTTCATAAATGACATGCTGAAATCTATACACTCCTCCATATAAATGTTTGCAGACAATGCCAAGTTATTCAGGGAAATTAAGAACCAAACAGACTGTGAAGAGCTACAGAAAGATCTCTGTGAGCTTCAAGAATGGTAAAAGAAATGGCTGCTGAGATTCAATGTCATGAACGGTAAGGAGGCATATCACATGTCCCAACAGGATGAAGAAATTGCATTAAAAGAGACTGAATGCTAAAAGGACCTGGGTGTGTATGTTGACAATGAACTAAAGTTCTTGGGTCATTGTGAGAAGAAGGTGAATCAAGCAACTAAATTAGTAGGTCTTATAAGAAAGTCGTTCAGATATCTAGACGGTCCATCCCTCATAACGGGCAGGTGTACGTACGTGGATTCCTCCCCTACAAGCACCGAACCTTCTCGAATTCCCCAGCCTACACCTCCAGGACCGCCCATGGAGTGGGGGTCAACTATCTACCCAAGCCTACCTGCCTTATAAGGCCTGACACCGCTGTGACCACCCTCTTTCTACACAGTGCCACCAGCAAGCAACACCAACTCCTCCGCGGCAGCCTGGCGGCTGCCGTTCCCGCCAGCGACCTTGGCGTCCCTCAAGCTGCGTGTCCTCACTCTGGGCACCCTCACCACCTAGCTCTCTCTATTCAACGCTTATTACCATGCTACCTACCCAGCAACAAGCTGCATTGTACATCCAATACAATATGTATACAGTGAGCACATTGTGAGTTTCCTTTCTCCATCCCATCCTGAGTGTGAGATATCTACATGTACGTACATTTGTGTGGCCATACAAAGAAAAAATAGACATCTAAAGAGAAATGACCACTGGCCACATTACAGTACGCTACAAATGGTGACCCCCGGAGATTCGCACTCACACAGGATGGAGGAGAAACTGATCACTCTCCCAGTCTTCAAGCAACATGGAAGACTGGCTTACCCACGCAGAGGCAGCTCTCATCAGCTCTACAGGTACTGTCTCTACACCGCAGGTTAGACACCCTAGAGCAGCTCTGCTACTCTAAGCAGACAGCCGCTCCTCTTCCTGCCCCAAGCACCATGTCCTACCGACCCCAACACACCCGTCCTGCCTCAGACGCCTCCCCCGGCCCAGCAGTACCCCCTGCCGCTGCTCCTGACGCGGACCCACACACCCCTCTTTTCTCCCTCAGGTACCCCCTGCTACTGTCCTGCACCCTGCTGCTGCCGTGGGCCCTGCTGCTGTCATGCACCCTGCTGCTGTCATGGACACTCTTCCTAACGCAGCCCCTGCTCCTGACCCAGGCCCACACACCCCAGCAGGCGCATCTGAGGACTCTGTGCCTGTCGCGAGGGAAGCACAACATTCATCGCCTCCACAACCCACCTTCTCCCTCTTTTCTCCCACAGATCTCGTGTATGTAGATAGAGTTGCCCCCCCCCCCTACCGGCCGGCTCATCCACGCCCTCGTCGTTATGTACCACATGTGGCATGCACCGCCCATTCTGCCTCACATGTGGCACGCAACTCTGCCAACCTCCAGCCTCCCGCCGCGCCATGAGGGGAAGGGGAGTATTGTAGTGGATTCCTTCCCTACAAGCACCGAACCTTCTCGAATTCCCCAGCCTATGCCTCCAGCGCCGCCCACGGAGCGGGGGTCAACTATCTACCCACGCCTTATAAGGCCTGACACCGCTGTGACCACCCTCTTTCTACACAGTGCCACCAGCAAGCAACACCTCCTCCTCCGAGCCAGCCTGGCGGCTGCCGTTCCCACCAGCGACCTTGGCGTCCCTCAAGCCGCGTGCCCTCACTCTGGGCACCCTCACCACCCAGCTCTCTCTATTCAACGCTTATTACCATGCCACCTACCCAGCAACAAGCTGCATTGTACATCCAATACAATATGTATACAGTGAGCACATTGTGAGTTTCCGTTCTCCATCCCTTCCTGAGTGTGAACCAATATCTCATAACCCCACACAGTGTATTGGCCCCTGTTGTTTGTTTGCTTCATAAATGATATGCCAGAAGCTATACACTCCTCCATACAAATGTTTGCGGACGATGCCAAGTTATTTAGGGAAATTAAGAACCAAGCAGACTGCGAAGAGCTGCAGAAAGATCTCTGTGTGCTTCAAGAATGGTCGAAGAAATGGCTGGTGAGATTCAATGTCACGAAGAGTAAGAGGGTGCACCTGGGACGTACCAACGGTAAGGAGGCGTATCATATGTCCCAACTGGACGAAGAAACTGCATTAATTGAGACAATGCGAAAAGGACCTAGATGTGTATGTTGACAATGAACTGAAATTCTCGAGTCAGTGTAAGAATAAGGTAAATCAGGCAACTAAACTATTAGGTCCAATAAGAAGGTTGTTCAGTTATCTAGATGGTCCGACCCTTGTAACGATCTTCAAGAGCGAGGTGCTTCCTCGTCTGGAGTACTGTCACCCCGTCTGGTCCACGAGATATGCTAGGGACTGTCAGTTGGTTGAAAATGTTCAAAGGAGGGCCACCACACTGGTGCCTGCCCTTCGGTACCTCAGCTACCCTGAGAGATTGGAGCTCCTGAACTTGCCTAGCTTACACTACAGACGGGCAAGAGGTGTATAAGCATCTGAAGGGGCACTACGCAGTCAAGTGTCCTTAATTGGAGCTGGCAGACGCTCGCCCCACAAGGGGTTGTAGTGGATTTCTCCCCTACAAACGCTGTTTGTCGCTGAGTAGCCGACCCCGCGAATTCCCCAGTGTATGCCTCGTGGTCTAGGTCAACCAGCGCCGCCTTACATGACGGAGGTCAACGACTAAGCCACGCCTACCTCCGCTATTTAAAACCTGACCTCGTGGTGACCTCCCTCTTTTCTACCTACACCAACCAGCAAGCAACACCTCCTCCTCCTCCTCCTGCCTGGCGGTCCTCGCTCCTGCCGGCGAGCATGGCGACCCACAAACTGTCCTCTGAGCATCCTCACCAACCAGCTCTCTCTACATCACGCTTGTAACCACGCTGCCACTTCCCAGCACCAAGCTGCATTGTACATCTAATACAACATGTATACAGAGAGCACATTGTGAGTTTCCTTTCTCCATCCCATCCTGAGTGAGAACCCAAACAACCCGTACCCCACAGGGTCACAGCTGAAGATTGAAGAAGCCGCAAGTCCAAAAAACTGTGAGGGCAAACTTTTTCGGAGTGAGAGTTGTGAACTCTTGGAACAATCTACCAGAAAGTGTTGTGACGGCACCGAGTGTGAGCTCTTTCAAGACAAGACTTGACCAACACTGGAGCGGGTTCAGGTACATCCAGTAGCCGGTGCATGCCCAGTACTTGCCAACAGTGTGTAACAGAGACGTGGCCGATCGCCCAAGCGGCTAACGAGCCGATCTTTTGGAGAAGAGGATAAAAGGATAAAAGTAAGTAAAAGTAAACCACAAAAACAAATTTTACTCACCGAGAAATAAACAATCGCAAAATGAATGATCGAGTTATCGGAATTAAGATGTTGATTTCGAATATTCTCAAATCTTTATTTTATTTCATATTCATTTAATTTCGAATATTGGAAGCGTACCTTTCGGATAATGCCATTTTCATTATCTGTAACAATTCTTTAGGAAACAGACAGAACGGCAGTCTCGTAGTCCCATGACTCCCATTGATCGCACGCTGGCTACAAGGGTCAAGCAGCGAGTCGGTGACACGGACTGAACACGTGATCCTACTGTGCAACACCCTCCTCACACGCGTTCTAATTTCACTACGGTTGTCATAGCTTAATAGTTATATTAGAAAATTTTTACGCCATAAAGGTTAGCTACCGACGTAAAATTATTATAGCTGTTCATAGTCTGAATATCACGCATCGTAAATACAAATTTAGCCAAGTTCGGATATTCCCAGAGCCTCGTACGATTCAGATGCCACAGGATCACTAAAAGATTGATTATGTACCTTCTGAGGATTATACTAAAATTTTAATAACAGCCTTAGATATATTGCTTAGGTCATTAGTAAGGGCTTTATAGAATATATCCACTTCTGTATGATAACCTGTCATTTATGTTCGCAAAATAGAGCAAATGAAAACTACCAGTAGTCCTTTACGTGGCAGAATAATGGGTTGCTTCTTCCGTTTACATCTACATTTAGAAATAGCTCACTGTATCAAGGTTTTCAAACAACAAATATGAATATATAGTCAAATTTTAATTTCACTTTGTAGCTTTCTACAAGCTAATAATTAAGTACTCAATGCAAAATACAACACTTGGCTACTCGCCATACTGTCAAGCTCACTCAAAGTTTCTAATTATTGTTTTTAAATTTTCTATACATATATTTTATTCCTATAAAAAAGTTTATGAAAATATCACCAATGCCATAAAATGAATGGATTAAAAATAAAAATAAAATCACACATATTACTAGCGAGAAAATTATAAATGAAGGCGAGAAGGAAGTGTAGGCAACGTTACCACCATTATCACCGCCAGGAGCGTAAGGCTCCAGCTTCAATCTCCTCCACTAGAAAATCCCAGCTGGACGTCAATTGGAAAACATCTGCTCGTGAGTAACATAAACTACCGTGGAGTGGGATCTGACAACGTTAGGTTCAATAATTTTGCCCTGATCTTCCAAGCGGTAAATAGGAAGATCCTACATTACTGGAAAGGCTGTCACGCCTGTGTGATAGTATTACAGATGCCGCCTAGACATGTGTTGAGCTGTGACAACGACCTCCCGATTAAACGTTGTGAGTTGAGGGAAGGTGTATGTGAAAAGTGACGTTTCAGTGAAGGAAACTACGGATTAGATGCCACAATGTAAGCCACAAGTTACGCTGTGTATAGTGTAATCCCCGAATGATTCACATTGCTTGTCCAACCGAGTGATATCATATGTATGTTGTGGTTGGTTTTAAGACACTAGCATAATTTGTAACAAACCTTAATAATTTCTGAATACAGTTTCCCAGATTGTGCAGTAAAAGGTTAATTCACAGCTCATTGCCGACTTGTACACTTGGCAGATAGAAATGTTATTGGACTTGTACTCGCAAATTCTAATAGCGCAAATACAAACATTAATAAAAGTCAGATTAAGGTGTAGAAAAAGTGTAATAAAGACGAGTGTGCATATTTAGATTTATATTACAGTATATGGTAGACAGAGACAATGAAGAGGATCCACGGCTCTGCTATGTCCAGACAATATGGCTTCTTTACCTTCATGACAATCTGCTACAGGAAACGAATAATGTTGAGGATAAGAACTAGCAAATATTATATAATTTTGACCTGATATATGGCGAAAGCCTTTTTGAAATTTAAATCGCGTGTATCTCGAGGAATTTGCAGTGAAACGAATAAGTTTATATGATTCACCTGTGGTAGGTGTTCTGAAGTTCGAAAACAAATGAACTTAACCAACAGAAACATCCCCAGGTAACCATAGTATTATTAATGTTTAAATAATACATTTCCCGTGTGCGCAGTTTTAAGTTTCATATCAAATTTTAACCATTGTGGCCATAGAAAGATCAAACATTATCTAGAACAAATACTATGATATGCAGTTGACATTTGTGTTGGCATTTGTTTTAGTTTTCACAACGAATTTTTTTTACACGAAGCTTCAAATTAGATACATAAATAATATGTGTATCCCCAAAATGTTAGTTTTAAGGCTAATTAAGGCTCTTGGTATGTATATATATATATATATATATATATATATATATATATATATATATATATATATATATATATATATATATATATATATATATATATATATATATATATACACACACGTTATATATATATATATATATTTATATCAGGAGATTCCAAAATTTAACCTAGTGCCAAATAAATTAGTGATCATAATGGGAATAGGAATTAACAGTACATTCTCCAAATGTGTCAAGAGAGTGTCGTTCTCTTACTACTGTATTATAACGTTAATGTTATACAAGGTCAATTTTAAAGTTTGTTGCGTATAGCAATATGTGTAGAGTTGTTCGGTACATGGTTGTGTAACCTCTCAACCTGTGTGAGAAGTTGGTCAATTAAGTTTGCTGCTAAAATTCCCGCAACACTTTGCATTCGCCATTGATCGGCCTGTTTGTCGCTTCGACGGTTAGCAGCACTGTTGGCAAATGCTGGACATGGGCATGTATGGGCTCCAAAATGTACCAAAACATGCGCCAGTATTGGTCGAGTCTGTCCTTAAATTGGCTCACACTCATTACCTAGCTGCCACAACATGGCAGGTTATTTTGAGAGCTCTTACTCCAAAGAAGTTCATTAAAAATTGTCTGTATTTGTGTTTTTTTTTAACTGAGTCTCGGAATCTGCGCATGCTCGATTTTGTACATTTTAACATTTTTGTACATATTTTTTTGGTAATTGCATAAATGGAAAGGGTGACAATGATGGCAGGTCAGTTTACGTTGGCATGTTTATAAATGATATTCACTTTCAAGAGGTTCGTCAGTGTAAAAAATTTCGTAATGTTGGCATTATATTTTTTAGGGCCTTCAACTGCCTCGGTTCACCAGTATATACAGTAGGTGACACGAATTGACGTCACCCAATTCGTCTGTAAAGTTTCGAGGAATCACTTTATTATCATTATGTACGAAGGCCTACTTGTACAGCTTTTCTTTTGTTTCTTTGTTGTTTCTCGACACTAAAGCGGGTGGGGTATAGTGTATTACTATTATTTAACAATTAATATCTTTAAGTGCATATTTTAGGATAGAATATGCTCAAACACAAACACAAAGTCGTTTCAAGGCGACTTCGCAGTTATATACACTGAAAACTGAAGGCATATATATATATATATATATATATATACGGACACCCACGTACTATATAATTATACAGTACACATGACCGCTCTCCCATATACAGGAATAGTTGTTAACAGTCGAGCGGGACAAGAGCTTGGGCAGATGTGACCGGTTTAAAGAAAACGTTTTCATGAGTAGGTATAAATGCGGCATCAAGGTGGTGCGAGTCGGCGAGACCAGCCACTTGGGCGTCGACTCCGCCTTGACGTCATGGATCTTCCGACGCTACGTCACAGATCCCTAGCCATTCACACGTCGGCTCAGCACAGATGTCATGGATCTCCAGTCATTCACACTTTGCAGCCGTGACGGCCCAGCCACTCGCCGGCCGGTACTACTGTAGCTCCCAGACAATGGCTCATCTACAATAATAATAATAATAATAATAATAATAATAATAATAATAATAATAATAATAATAATAATAATAATAATGTAACCGCCAATCAGACGGTTAGAGGGTGAATAATACTTCTCACGTCGTACACGAACATTATAATTCGTTCAAACCTGTTGAATACAATTCATTTAGTATTTCAAATAAGTCATACATAGGCACTCTTACATAAATGTTTAATCCAATATATAAGGCTATGTAATTAGTCTAATCTTAACACAAAAACAATGACACAGTCTACCTGTGTACACAATAAGTACTAGTTAAACTCAAGTGAGAAGCCAGGGTAGGTATTGACTCTAAGATATGGTTAGCTATACTGAAATGCCCACCGTATAGCCTGGCCCCTTGGCTGGTCAGCTATGGCCGAGTCGGGTGATTATAATTATACATAAACAAACTCCCTTCACACCCTCCAACCTCCTTCTGGGCCTCTCATCTCCACCATCTCGACACTCTACATTGTACACGGGCAGGCACACCCAATAAACATGACATGAGTTACAGCCTAACATAACATTTGTTTATATGTCATCATAATTATGTACCGCTTGCGGTAACACCCACTCCGTTGAGCGTTCACACTCAAAACCAGATCGGGCCTTTGATACTTAAGTTTGTCACGATCATGCGACTATGCTGCCCTCAGGCTGGTGGTATTTAACTTTGTCACGTCTTTGTGACTAAGCTGCCCTCAGGCTGGTGGTATTTAACTTTGTCACGTCTTTGTGACTAAGCTGCCCTCAGGCTGGTGGTATTTAACTTTGTCACGTCTTTGTGACTAAGCTGCCCTCAGGCTGGTGGTATTTAACTTTGTCACGTCTTTGTGACTAAGCTGCCCTCAGGCTGGTGGTATTTAACTTTGTCACGTCTTTGTGACTAAGCTGCCCTCAGGCTGGTGGTATTTAACTTTGTCACGTCTTTGTGACTAAGCTGCCCTCCCTCAGTGACTAAGCTGCCCCAGGCTGGTATTTAACTTTGTCACGTCTTTGTGACTAAGCTGCCCTCAGGCTGGTGGTATTTAACCTCAGGCTGGTGGTATTTAACTTTGTCACGTCTTTTGTGACTAAGCTGCCCTCAGGCTGGTGGTATTTAACTTTGTCTGTCTTTGTGACTAAAGCTGCCCTCAGGCTGGTGGTATTTAACTTTGTCACGTCTTTGGTGACTAAGCTGCCCTCAGGCTGATGGTATTTAACTTTGTCACGTTCTTGACTAAGCTGCCCTCAGGCTGGTGGTATTTAACTTTGTCACGTTTGTGACTAAGCTGCCCTCAGGCTGGTGGTATTTAACTTTGTCACGTTTCGTGACTAAGCTGCCCTCAGGCTGGTGGTATTTAACTTTGTCACGTCTTTGTGACTAAGCTGCCCTCAGGCTGATGGTATTTAACTTTGTCACTTTGTCAGGCACGTCTTTGTGACTAAGCTGCCCTCAAGCTGATAGTATTTAACTTTGTCACGTCCTTGTGACTAAGCTGCCCTCAGGCTGGTGGTATTTAACTTCAATTTTGTCACATGATCGTGACTATGCTGCCCTCAGGCTGGTGGTATTTAACTTTGTCACGTCTTTGTGACTAAGCTGCCCTCAAGCTGATAGTATTTAACTTTGTCACGTCTTTGTGACTAAGCTGCCCTCAGGCTGGTGGTATTTAACTTTGTCACGTCCTTGTGACTAAGCTGCCCTCAGGCTGGTGGTATTTAACTTCAATTTCGTCACATGATCGTGACTATGCTGCCCTCAGGCTGGTGGTATTTAACTAGGTAAGGTCTTGGTTTGCTAGTTTCGTGGGTAAATTCATGGGGTTATAATATCAACGTGGCACCCGAGGCGGGTACATGACGCGCCTTAAAACAAAGGCTGAATGTTCATGGCGGGGGTGTATCAACTTCACTTAAAACTGTAATGAGGGATCCTCCTCTCACACATTGCACTATTTGAACACAGACATAAGATTCTCTGATCACTGTACCTGTCTGGGTATATCGTGAGGATACGAGGTGTATTAAGTTCATACCGACGCATACAAGATATTTCCTTTCAAGCATAGTTTCTGGTCACTTCACCTCACATAGTTCTGATACATTTATCTTTTCCAGATCATTGTTCTCATGTATTTTCATATGATATCTGTGGAAGGCATGTCCGCTACACGCTCAGAACGTAAATAGTATGACCTTCAAACCCTGATCCTTAGTCCTACAGTACACTAGTCCGGCTCAACTGGACTTTATTCATCTTATGGATAACCTGAGTTCTCCTTAATGCTATGAATACTTACAATTAATATGATATAACTGTACCTGGGTACAATACAACACATGGTCTAGTAACATTGAGTAGGTGAGTTATCCTTTAACAATGTTTCCCGTTTTCTGAGGTTCTACAAGCGCGGTGGATTTGAATGTTATATAGCGTAATATAAATTAAATGGGGTTTTTAGGAATGACAATGATGTGCGCAGTACAGTGGTATTTAACTTCAATTTTGTCACGTTCTCGTGACTATGCTGCCCTCAGGCTGGTGGTATGTAACTTTGTCACGTTCTCGTGACTAAGCTGCCCTCAGGCTGG